TCAAGTGTGTTTTAAACTTCCTACGTATTTATATTAACTTCAAAGTTTGTTTTTATTATTTCTGGTATTCTTGGTTCTAATGCTTGTTGTTGTTTGTCTGTATACAGCCTTTTTAGATATATAATCCATATACCTATGAAGTGTTTTTTGCAGAAAAGACTTAAATAGTTTTTAATAAAATACTGTTTTTGACATAAATTATTTTAATCCAGGTAGTATTATTTTTGAGGCTTTAGCACCTAGCTATTTAGCCAATAACATGTTGAGAAATAATAAATGAAAAATTACTAATATTAATATTCTAATATTATTAATACTAAAGAAAATAAAAAACTGTATATCTATACAATATGACTAGTGCAAAAAGTGTATCTATTCGAAAAAAAAACCTCATAAGATCCCTTATAACTAAACAATTTAACTATTACAAACAAAAAGAGAAAATGATAGCAAGAAAAACAAATATCAGGAAAAACAGGGATACTCACTTCTCGTCCAGTGGCCCATCAGGACATTTGTTTAAGACATTACTAGCAATGGGCCACGGAGAGAAAGGTAAATAACAATTATATTAAAACAAAAGTTAACGAGCTTAGCTTAGATTGACTACAGACACACACTTGCACTATGTATGAATTTAATCAAACCATTATAGACTTTTTTATTATTAGTTGCCAATAGGTTATTAATTTGATATGGAAGAAATATTTGCAGAGTTTGCAAGTTGTTTAAAAGAGTTCTTGAATGCTGAAGATATTTGGAGCACTTAAAAAATATGTGGTTAAGATCTTTTTGTTCTTGGCAAGTTTCGCATAGGTCTGAATTGTATATTTTGATTTGTGTAACATGAGCAGAATAACAAGCGTGGCAAAATCTCAATATTATTAAAGTTGTTGTATATTTACGGGCAGTATTGAAATTCTTAAACAATCTGGACTTAGGGATGTGTGGTTGTATCTACACGTATTGTGTTGTTAAGTGGTCGCAAAAAGTTTTCTAGGAGATATTTCAACGATTTGTTTGATTTCTTTACAGATGAGAAAAGCGTCAGTAACCACATGATTTTAATTTATTTTATCTTAATTAATCTTAATAAACTTGAAAGCGACAACATTTTTGAATGGAGAATGAAAAGACCATTCAAACGATATATCACAAACCTATACCTCCTATTTTAAAAATTGGGGATTGTACCTGTCATTCTAAGGGGGTTGAAGGTAGGGGTTGCATTTTCACGTTAAAGAATGTCAAGTTATAATTTAAATTTGACGTGTTTCGGGATTTTTCATAAATATGTACAGTAACCTAAATAATGAATTTATTCCATTTGGCTTTTACACACTGTATATCAGTTTCATAGTACATAACATTATTTCGTAAACCTAAATTAAATTAGTCATTTCATAGTAAATTAGTCATCTACAGTGTAGATTGCGATAATTCCGAGAAGTTTACTTCTAGTTATCCTCGTAAAAAATTAAATGGGAAAACCACACGTGATTGAACTTTAATGATTTTGTATCATTATATTTTTCAAAATAGGCTAATTAATATTTTTTCTTGTAATAAAAATCTTTATTTTTTGGTAACCTTAAACCAATATTATGGAATATTTCTAGAACAATTATTTCTGATCAAATATTTTGTTTTGATAGCATAAAAATATAAAGATAATGACAGATATAAACATAATTTTAAAAGCATAATGATTGATAATAATTATGATATTTAACAATTTATAATAACCAGACGAGTAATTTTAGAAAACAATGGAAACTTTAAGTATTTTAAAATAAAGATAAAAATATGTATGTACAGTTGATTCCATGGTTCTTTACTGGTGCGCATCGAGTTAGAATCTATGGAGAGGGCATCACGTGACTAAAAACGACCTACCTTCGTCCATATTGGTATTATTGTTTTGAAACTTTTGACAGATCGTATATGTTTGGTTATATTTGTTGTTTTTCGAATATTTTCAGTTTTATAATAATTTTATAAGTGCATAATAATGGTTTCTTGTTCTCAACGTAGTTGCAGTAGCAGAAGTAATGTTAATAAAAAATCTTCAGGAATATCGTTCCACAGGTTAGTATACAAATATGTAAACAAAGTAAGGGCCCGTACTTTAGAGAATAAATTAATACTATTTGACTGTATTAATTTATCTTTATATATATAATATATCGTGTTTTTAGTGTTTACCGCGGGATAAATAAATCATAGTTTATTAAAAATGTATTGCACTATTTTAGATTATGATTAAATCTTCTGAATAACTAGTCATATTTGTATAGTAGTTTTATTATTATTGAGTCTGGCCCTGATGTCACCGCCATATTGGTATTATCGTTAGCCACTCCTACCTATGCCGTTTTTAATAAATACGTTAATATGCTCATAGCTTCTCCATAGATTCTAACTCGATGCTGGTGCGGCATCATTTAAAGCATATGGAATACGTCGGAAATTTACTTCACGCAACATCAACTGAGAGAAAGTGACTACGGCTCCAATCACGGATGATATAAAATTTTGAACGTATCAAATAAATAGAATATAAAATGTAAGTTTTGCTTTAAAATTTTGGTGCAGAATTACAGCAACTTTTGAAATAACTTAATAAATTCTTTTAATATCAGTAGTAAGTAAAACATAAATAAACAATTTAAAAAATACATAATTAAATACACAATAATATTTACAGTATATTGATGTAATATTTACCAGTAAAATTATTATTCGTTCACACATTGTTGATAGGACGAAATGTGCTTCAAAGTCATAAAACAGTCGTGAAATTTGTATCATCATAGGCGTTCCTGAGGTGTTTATTCATTAAAATTAATGCGTTTTACATTTATTTTTCTTTGCAAAATGTTTATATCAATATTAGTAACGTTTTATTACTAATTATTTAGCAAAAAACAATTAAAACTTTCACGGCTAATGTTGGTTATTATATTATATTAATAAAAATAAGAATTTAACCATTAACAATTAGGTGAATAAGAATACCTTATCTCTTTAGATATTTCAATACTAATGTTCGCGTTTAATCACTTTACTAGAAAACCCGAAATTCATATCCGAAGGTACTATTCGTTGCAAGATAATTAGGATGGAATTTCCCAGATTTTTAATAATATAATGGGTTTAAAGATGCCGGCTTTGGCTACGTGCCTCATCTGTTCAGTTTATATTTGAAACTTAACTTGAAAGGGTGAAGTTAATACAAACGAAGACAATTTTTTGTTTAGTACGTTTTTGATCGCATGTAATTTACTCGTCGGTGCTCGTCGGTGTTTTCGCGTCTACGGCAGTAATTAGCGTCTCTAATATTTCATTTGAGAATTATATGCAGTGCGTGAGTGATTTTTTATTCCATATACCTACGAACATATACGTACCTTTCGCTCGTGCTCATTTTGTTGGATTATTTGTGATGTCTTCATCATCAACATCAAGTCTTACACCAGTACTGTTGCGTACAGTCAGTAAGTCTGTCTATTCAACAAGGGAGAGGACTATTGTCCTGAATGTTCACGATGCTCTGGTTTCTCAGAATCCCACAAACACTGTTCTCAACATAGTCGAAAGTTGTGCCAACATGACTAACGTAGGGGAGTCAACTATATATATATATATATATATATATATATATATATTATATATATATATATATATATATATATATATATATATAACCAAGTTAGACTCTTTGGGTAAAACAGCTGAAAGGATAGGCTAAGTGTACTCTTTAGTCCTTTATTGATCCAATATTTCGTTGATAGTTATCAACATCATCAGGGATAAGCTACAATTAGTTTACATGAAAATTGACAATCTGTTATAAATACGTTGATCTTACTTACGATTTTGAGAATGGTGCCGTAAAAGCTGGTCAAATTTATAAAATTTTGTGAGAAAAATTGTATGAACACACAAATGAACACTTAAAGAGAGGGAAAAAGCCTATTGAAATTGATGAATTTGCCAAAAATAGTATTCGAAGGAAAATTCATGGATTTTTTTTCAAAAAGAAATACCAAACATAAACAAAATTTGCCGGTTCCCTTCGATGAAAATAAACGACGTCTGCTTCAATTGCCCATATTTTTAAACCTAAAAGTTGAATTCATTCGACCTGTTTACCTTTTCCCCTCTAACCCGTCCATACAACCAAACAACACAAAATTTTTGTTAATAAATCTTTTCAAATTATATCGTAAAATGACCTTGAATCATTCCCAGTTTTTAAAATTGTAGAACTGAATGTACAAATAAATAAAACCATATTTAAAGTCGCAATTACAACTAAAATTTGGCATTATTTCTTTTACATCACAATGTAAACAGAGAATCGGGGAAATATTTAAACTTGGCCCAGGGGTGTACTAGATAAATTTCATACTTGAATATTAGAAAGTTTAAGGAATTTTCTGCATGCTACAAGAGGAGACACTGAAAAAACAGTTATATTGCTCTATTGATATCGATTTAAACACGAAATTTTTGATTAATTTGTGCTCCAACACCATATTATTTGACGTTGGTCATAAGGAGAGAGTAGTACCATTCTCTCTCCTGCTACTGACAATGTAGAGCGTAGAATCTTTTTAATTAATTTTAAACTGTTTGTCCTTGTTTTAGTGTAGTGTTTTGTACAATTTTATGTTACCCTTTATGTTTATCACATTCTACCCTTGCTGGATAGCCCATATTTGACGAAATGCCCCTGAAGATGCTATTTTAAGCGAAAGTACTTGGGCAAGATTTGATTAAACTTGTGCTCGATAAGTGCCTTAATTCTCAAAAATAGTAGTTAGACAAGATAGTTGTTATACTTACTTGGTATAATATTAGACTAATTTCTTGTAATGTACTCAGACACTGAAGTATGTTTCAAAATTCAGCGTATTGTCTCCGCAAAATATGTTTTAATATTTTTTATTATTATTTAGTGATAAAGTAATCTTATTTAAACTGTTTCGTTTCAGAGTATACTGATCTAGCGCCTCCATACTTTTATAATGACTTAAAATCTATTTTGAAGTTCTTCGAAGATCCCCAAGTAAGTTTTTATTGCATTACAATAAACATTGTATAAAAAATTATAGCTATTAGATTAAATATCCTTATGAATTTGGTTAACTTTTTCATTTTACTAGGTCTTTATTTTTAGTACAGATTTACGCCAGGCGTACGTGAACTTTTGAATATATATCACGAACAAAAAGTTAAGACTGATGGACTTAATATAACTGGTCAAGGTAAAAGGCATCCCTTGTTCGTGATAGAAGGTCTGGCTGGATCAGGTGAATATATTTTTATGTTAACCTTATATAGTCGTAAAATACGTCAAGCTGCAGACCTAGTGGATAAAGCTAATTCGAGGACGCTGGATCCTAACTCATTAATGCTAACCCTTTTTAAAAATTCTCGTTTTCGAGTAAATCTTTATTTAAATTTTTTGTAACCCATTCATTTATGTCTTCTATATTGATATTGCGTGCTGTTCTTATGATTTCGCTTCTCTCCCCATACAACAGACTTTTACCTGATATTCGTCGGAGCATTTTCATCTTTGTTGTTTATAGTAGTCGTCTCGTTTTAGATGTGTCAGGTCTTGTCTCTGCTGTGTATGTTAATAGAGTTCTAATTGCTGCTTTATAGATTCTTATTTTTGTGTCTTGTCTTAGGTGTTTGTTCTTCCAGACTGCCTTCCAGATTAAGAGATCCCGCTGCTTTACTTGCTTTTAAGCTTTGTTGTCGTACTTCTTCTTTAACATCTCCGTAACTTTCTTGGCTTTTGTATTGAAGATGGTTGTTATGCTTTGGAGCTCGTCTTCTATCTCGGCGTTTAATATCGCGTCGTCTGCATAATATAATATTTAGATTTCTCTGTTTCCCATTCTTTAGCCGTGACCTTTACGTACTGCTTGTATTATTTCGTCCATTATTATATTAAAGAGAAGTGGGCTTAATGAGTCACCCTGTCTAAATTCGCTTTGTACTGGTATACACTGTGTTAGTTTTTCATTTATCTTTGCCTATATTCTATTATAAAAATAGATGTTTTCGATGGTTTGTATAATATTAATTGGTATATTCCTTTTATACAGTAGATGTAAGATGTCTTCGACTAGGATGCGATCGAAAGCCTTTGTCAGGTTTATAGAACATAGATATGCTGGTTTATTGTACTCGATGGCCTTTCCTGTGATTTGTCTTAGTACAAATATGGCATCTATGTAGGATCTTTCGGATCTGAATTTTCGTTTTTCATCTGATAAAGTTGATAATTTATTGATTTTGTTGGTTAGGACTTTTGTGGTATGCTAAAGTGCGGTGTTTATACCTTTATATTTGTTGGGGTCTTCTTTATCTTCTTTCTTGAACATTGGTATAATTATGCTGTTTCTCCATGCGTCTGGTATCTTGCAGTGCAATATTAGTTTTTGTATAAGTTTTGTCATCTCTAGGGTTATACTTTCTCCTCCGTGTTTCTTTCTCATTCGTTTGCTGGTATGTTATTGTATTCCTTCAATTCTGCCATTTTTTTCCGTTGATTTCTTATGAATCTCCATATTTGTTTTTGTTTACCGTAGAAGTCGCTTCCCATCCTTTTTGTAAACTGTTCCCAGTGTTAATTTTTTGTTCTTCTTACCAACTGCTTCGTTTCATTTCGTATTCTTTTATATTTGTTTCGAAATTCTGGGGTATTTGATGTTTTGTACTTCGTGTAGGCCTCTCGTTTCTCTTTACATTTCTCTTTTATTTCTTTTCTGAACCATATTGTTGTTGTATTGTATATTGTGTTGTATATTGTTGTTGTTTCTTTTGTTCAGTATGCCTTTGCGTTTTCCTAGAGCTTCTGTTACTGCTTTTTCGATGTTGTTTTTAATTTTCCCCCAGTTTCCCAGAAAAATTCAATGCAGTGAATCTGCATTGAATTTTTCCTCGGTAATTTCCTGTAGAAAATTTTGTTTTGATATTATTTTCATTTTTATCTTTGCTAGTACTAGTTTGTGTTCACTTCCTACGTCTGCTGAGTTGAAAGTTCGGATATCTAGAATTTGTTTTGGGAGGTTTTTTCTATTAATGACTATAAAATCAATCATATATTTATACCCTCTGGAGTTTTCGAATGTATACTTATACTGGGGTTTATGGTCGAAAACTGTATTATTGATTTTCAGTTCATGTAAAGCACAGAGATTAGCCACGAGTTCTCTTCATTTGCGTTGACAAAATGTTCATTAAATCTTTGTTTTGCTCCCAGTTTTATTTCTGATTCGTGCATTAAAGTCACCCAAAAGAATTAAGGGCTCTTCATAAGGTATTTTCTCCAAGATGGTGTGCAGTTGTTCGTAGAATGCCTCTCGTTCCTCCTTAAGTTTGCAGTCATCGGGGCTATAATAGATAGAGATGACATTTAATTTTTGGTAGTCCATTGTCATATTCACATGTATTAAGGTCGATTCTCACTATACGTTCCGTTTACTTTCCATATCCATGGCTTTCCATTTACATAAAATATTATTAAACACAAATCATATAGTATATGCCCACTTTCCGTTCCGTTTACCTACCCCTTTCAGGCCTGAACTTTTTTTGAGTGAAAATTAAGTTTCCCTTTGAGTAAATACGATATACACTATCCAAAAAAGGTATAAAAAATGCAGAAAAAAAAATTCATAGTTTGAATTTGTCAAAAATGACATATCACGTTCGTGCGCTCTCGGCTTATGTTCTATCAACGCACGATCGTGAGTGTTTACTTTTATTAAACCTAATTAGGATTAGGTTAGGACCAAATAAAAATTATTTTATATTTTTTTAACATTTATTACATACAACCTTAAATAAAACAAAAACTAGGAGTAAATTTCAAGCAATTATACGTGAACATATTGTCAGGTACAGAAATTTCAAAAAAATAATTATTATTTTTTATGGTAATCTCTAAACATGGACTTGTTGCGTGACAAACACAAATAAACATTGCACTTTTCACATCTAACTTTAGACCTACTAGAACAATTTTCAAATCTGCATGTTCTAGGAGCTGGAATTTCATCAAAAATAGGAAAATGTTCATAACAATCATACCTCCTTGAGTCACTTGGATTATTGGCTGGTCGATACCTTTTTTGGTTTACAACTGGATCAATATCCATAGATTGAGTGTCTTCACTTGTTGATGAAGGATTTTTAGTTTTCGTTCCAATGAGACCATCGGCTACTTCTAATCTGAACTGAAGCAAATCTGCTATTTTCTTTTTCGGAATATGTGCATTGATGGCTTCAGTTATATAAAGGCGCCAAGCATTCACTACACAAAGGTCTATAAAGTGCAATATTACTTTGAGGGTCCATTTTTTTGTTTTCATGAATGTGCGATAATATTCCATACCTTGGTCTAGAACGTCCACACCTCCCATGTTGGTATTGTAGTTGTGAATAAGCTTTGGCATGGAAACTTGAATATAAGCTTTAGAAGTTTTATCTTCTTTAAAAGGTATCTTTCTCCGTTCTGGAAGTCTGTTCATCATCAAAGTAGCTGTTCCATGAAGTTTCATTTGAGATAGACGTTCAATGAGGGGTATTGATGAAAAATATCTATCAAAATAGAGACAGCCTCCTGGAGGAATTGACTTTGATAGGTGTAGAATCACAGCTGCGGAAACTCCAAGTGATCTGTCAGGGAAGGGAGTCCTTGCACCTTGATATACCTCAAAGTCTATCATTAGACCGTCGCTTGTTGTAGTTACAAACACTTTTAGGCCTTGAGGTCGCGGTTTGTTTTTAACTACTTGTCTTAAGCCATTTGGACATCTTCCAGAGAAAGGAATAATCTGTTCGTCAATGGAATAATTACCTGGATGTCTTTCTAATCTGTCACATGCTCGTTTAACTGCAATTATGATGGGTTGTACCTTCCAAAGTGCATTCGTATTACCTTCAGGTGCTATGTCCTCATCAACTACATGCAAGGCTGTACGCAATGTCTTGAAACGGTCTCGTGACATTTGGCTTGATACCATGTGAAGTTGCATCTCTTGACGCCAATACATGTGAAGTCTAGGATAAGGGATGCATCCCATAATCAAGTGTATACCTATTAACTTCTTTATTTCTTCACTGTTTGTGTTCAGCATGTGACCTGTCTTACGCATATAATAATTATTTGTACAATTTGCAGCTAAATCAAAGAAACCATTATTTAAATAATCGGAAAAGTACTCCATAGCATTTCTGATTGGTTTAGGTGTACTTTCTGGATAATTATGATTTTTTTGCTGAAATGTCGTGTCTTTCCATTGCCTCCTTGCTGAAGAAGAGCTCGTTGAAGGAACAGGTTCTTCATCCAATACAGTTTCTTCAATATCCTTGTCATCGATGTCATTTTCAAATGTTTGAACCTCAAAAGCATCATCATTTTCGTCATCTAAATCTTCTATTTCAGACTCGTTGCCATCATTTAATAACTCTAGAGCCAACTCGTGGGTAAGAGGCACACCTGTAATTAGAAAAAAAAATATTTGTATCATTTAAATAGAGAAAAATTAATAAAAAGTTAAACCAATACATATTTAGTATTTTTAATTTCCTGCTATTGAAAATTGAATTTGTGACGACAACTCACTATCGTGATATTCAAATATTATGGGACAATATCTCTACAAACAAACCAATAATTTCTTAAATCTTGTTTATTATCACGAAGTTTAAACTTTACTTATACCAGAAACCCGTTACCATAAAATAAATAATAAAATAAAAACAAAATAACTTTTACTTACGTTTACCGGTTTTGTCATTAAAATACACAGCCATCTTCTGGGGTATTCTATTGCAAACTATCGCGAATTCGTTAAATAATTTCAGTTGTGCTGATAATGCATGATAGACACAACATATTGAATCATCTATCCCAGTAAAAATATGTTTATTTTAATATTGATACTCATATAAACATGAGCTCACGATCGTGTCAGCCGGTCACGAAAGGGCTACCATTCCCGAAGCCTCGCATTCAAGATTACCGGCCACGTATTTTTTCTGCGACAAGCTGCGACGTGTCGAGTTCGGTATGGATAGTGCGAATATTATTACATCGTGGTTCAGTCAAAGTTGTTAAAATAAATATGAATGACCAAAAATTGATAGAACTTGTCAGGCAAAATAATACCTTAATCAGGGCAAGCTAGTCAGCAAATAAAGAAATGGCGATATGTCATTAAAATGAGTTTTTTAGAACCAAACGTACGTCAAAGAGATATAATAAGTAACATCGAAGATTCCTCAACTGGTACAAGTCATATGAATTTGTCACGGCAAATAGAAAAATAATAATAAAAGTGAAGACACGGCCGAAACAGCGCAAGATACTCTATTAACATCCAGAGATGAAAACGAATCAACTCCAATAAAGAAGCCAAACCCTTTAATCGATTCCCTGAATCTAGTATCCTTTTTTGTTATTAGTTCTTTAATAGACGACAGTAATTCAAAGAACTTGAATCTTGGCATTCAAAAATATTCAAAGAATTTAGTATCGTCATCCATAAGTTTTCAGCAAAAAGCTTCAAAAGTAGCAAACCATGAGGTTTCTGCAAGTTCAGAGCTTATGAAATATCTCATTAGAATTCAGGAAACTGAAGAAAATCGTCGGGTTCTAAAACCGAACACAACTGTTGTATTTTTTCAAAGCATTGCTGAAAAGTCAAAAAGTTTATTCCATATTATCGGAATATTGCACAAAACAAAATTTTCAATCTATTTCAACAACTAGAATTTTACACATGCAAGGTCAACCATCAGTTCCATACAGCCAATCTTTTTTACATCAAAATGGTGGTGGACAGGGTGCTTCCCCAATTATGCTTACCCTGTATATACCTCCATCAACATCCCAACCATCAACTTCGGTATTTTTACATCAAAATGATGGTGGACAGGCTGCTACCCCAATGAAGCCTGCGTTTTATATACCTCCATCATCACCCTCACTTTTAACTTCGGTAGGGTCTTATCTCGCAATATACTCTTATGATGAGGATAACTCATGTTAATTGTTGTTAACAGTTTTGTATAATAATTTGTAAAAATATTATTATAAAAAATAATAAACTTATCTTAAACAAAAACACAGTTTTTGATTAGCTTTAATCGATTCCCTGAATCTAGTATCCTTTCTTGTTATTAGTTCTTCAATAGACGACAGTAATTCGAAGAACTTGAATCTTGGCATTCAAAAATATTCAAAGAATTTAGTATCGTCATCCATAAGTTCTTTAAACAAAGTTACGTATTCTCCTTCAGTATTTCTATGTTTCAACATAAATTGTGTATCCAATATTTCTGTTTCATTTTTTTTATTTAAATTATTTTCTTCACCCTTCAATAGCTGTTATCATTAAATTTTCTTCAGACCACATTTTATCAAGCAGGAAAAAACAAGCGTATTCCATTTAAAAACTTGCAATCAAATGTTACCAAACAGAACGTAAACGTAAAGTAAACGCCAACGTCTACTGAGAATGGTGGTTAAAATAATGGGAGGTATATGGAACAGGTATGGAAAGTAAACGGAACATATAGTGAGAATCGACCTTTATTCTTTCTGACATATAATGGCAGTTATTTGTGTTGTCTTTAATTTTTTTATGGACAAGTATACCTACGCCTGCTCGTGCTCGTTCTTCTTTAGGCTAAGAAATATTGGTTATATTCTCTTTGGCCTTTTCCTTTCTTCTTAGTTGCTTGGATTGCACAAATGTCTTTATTTTTATTTATCAGTTCTTATATTATCTCTTGGTCTTTGTTTTTGAAACAATTAATATTCCATGTTGCTAATCTAATTATGGGCTTATTTTTCCTTTTCGTTTTCCTTTTCTTTGCGTGGTTCATCATCTTAGGTACCGTCAAGTTCCGAGTCTCTATATCGGTTCATTGAGACTTGTTTTCTTTTACAATGGGTAGGATGCTAACTTGTCCCGTCAACCCTTCCCTTTTATCTGGGCTTATAGGAATCTTATAGGAATAAGTGACCATTTGAAATTTTTTAGGTGTTTTTGTTGAATGACTTTTTGTGTAGGATGACGAAATAAATATTTTTTCGAACGAACTCGATCTTTGCGCCTTGTCTATACTATTTTGCATTCATTTAACATAATAATGTGATTAAAGAAAAGTTCATTTTTCATATTATGTATATATTTTTTTAAATATATTTTCTTAAAATTACTATAATGAATTTATTTATGTTATTAATGGCATTAGATAGTATGATTTTTATAATTTACTGAAACTCTTGCTTTATAATATCACCATATGCTTTTAATTTGTTCCTATTTGACTGCATGAAGCATTAACTCCTTTTTTGTTTTTTCTTTAGGCAAAACAACAATAGGCCAACTTTTAGCATCCAAACTGAATGGAGTCCAAGTTCATTCACCTTCAAACAGTATTTACTCCTTAAAACCGTTATTTCAAGGTGATCACTTTAAAGAATCTGCATTTAACGCTATGAGTCACTACATCACAGCGCTTGAGGTAAAAGTTTTTCTAAAATCATCACCAGTTGTCATGGACAGGTAAATATTGCTTACTGCTTTAAGTACTTACAATTTAAAATAGTAAAGAAATTAATGTCAGTGTTTAGCAATTCAGTTTGCGATATTGTTCACCTTTTATCCAAATTTAGTAATATCAAAATAATGAAAAGGTTGCAAATGTCTCTCCATAATACTAATGTATAGCAGATAAGCTAATACTCAGAATCTTAAGTTGTTTTTCTATTGTTAAATTTTTGCCTACCAATTTAGTAAGCTGCAAGAAGCGCCATCTGTTTTGGTAGCCTTAAACAAAAACGACTGTCATTTTCTGTCTTTTTGAGCTGTACGAATTGTGTAAAGGATGCTAGGGCTTTGACGGATTGAGACGCCGGAAATATGAATAAACGACGAAAGGAGTACAATTCGTCAAACAATCGAGTAGATATAAACTCATACACGTAAAGCCAACGAATTATCCTGCTATATATTTTGCTCATTTCGTACTGCGTAAAAAGATATAAAACGACAGTAGTTTCTATTTAAAGCTACAAAAATATGTAAAGTCCTTTTGCAGCTTATCACTTGAGAAGTGGAAAATTACAGGACAGTTCACTGGCTTCCCATCTATGAGTTTGTACCTGACTGTATTAAGACGTAGGGCATATAAAAATAACGTTGATTGATAACAAAAACTCATACAAATAAAGTTGGACGAGTTGTGCTCCTTTTACAGCTTATTTATACATTCGGCGTCACAATTCATCAAAACGTACGTTTTCGTTGGTGTGGTTCGAGCGGCTGCGCCATGCGACTGCGATTAACGGCAGTCGCAGCTGTAATATCATCATTATCATAAGTGGCTCGACAATCCGTTGTGGATCTTGGCCTGCTCACAAAGAAGTCGCCATTCCTGTCGATTCCTGGCAATTGCTTCATTCTATCCTGGCTAGCATTATTCATTTCTTGTACGAGCAGAGCCCTGGCTCCAGGCTAATAAAGGCTTCTTACGTTTCACGTGCAAATTTTTAAATCATTATCCTTATTTCGTTTGCGAGTTTGTCGTAGGTAAGACTGTCCGGTTTCATTCTTTGTACCTCTCCTAACAAAAGGTTTTTTACAGGATTGGGTAGTTACCCCAACGCCAATCGCCTTTTCGGAGTGCCATTTTACCCGCTCTCTTTAGTTTCCGACCCAACTGTCCACCCGGGTTAGATACCGGATTTCTAGTTGGGTTGCTCGGTTTAAAGGTGACACCAGCATGAATGGGAGTCGGATTTGAGTAGAAGAAGTTAATTTAAGTAAACTGTAATGTTTTCGCATTCTACCCCTTCTCACATGCAGCTGCATTATAGAGTGTTTTATTTGTGCTTCTCTAATTCTATGCGATTGCGATTTGAACTAGTATAAAAGATCTTGTTGCATGATGTGCATGATTTAAGTTGTTACGTTAACTGATACCGACAACATAAATAGCAGTGAACTTTTAAGTAAAATTCTCTTAAAAGAAGCAGAAGAAAAAGAATGTTTACAACTGGAATTATTAGAAAAGGAACAATGTGAGAAATACGATATACTAATTATCCAACTGAACATGCTATCTTTTTTAAACATTTTTTTTTTTTATTATAACATGTTCATAGTTTTCATGTTCGTATTCAAAAATCGAGGGATATTACTCAACTTCTTCCACCAATATCTCATCCCTATTTGCATTGAATTTCGCCATTTTTACTGAACGACTGCGATTTGACTGGTTCACCTAGCAGTGAAATGGCAACTGTTGCTGCCCAATCGTACAGCTACGTTACCTACCTTATGTATTTTAGTTGACTGATCAACGACAAAATAAATGACAGTGATCTTTTAAATATCTCTTAGAGACGAGAAAGAAGAGAAGAATGGCCACAACTGGAATTATTAGTAACGGAACGATATGGGAAACAATATGTTTAAAAAACGTACAGAAGCAGTATGAATGGCGTTAACCAAAACGTATATGCGTAAATTGTGTAAAACCATTGCCGCGACTGTGACCGTACCTTTAGACGAATAGATCCCTAAATTGTTATAAGTAAGGTTGCTGCCGACGGTTTAAAGGTCGATTCAGACACATCAGTCACGTCTCGTCACAGTCCTGGTGCCGAACCGAACAATCCGTCATACAAAATATTCTTTAATAGAAATATGGCGCCGGCATTCACATTCATCAGGCGACGAACAGTTTCCCAGCTGTCAGATAATTAATAGTTCTGTTACCAAACAGGACCGGTTCGACGCCGAGACTGTGACGGGACTGATGTGTCTGAATCGACCTTAAGAATGTTGCTAATCAGTTTTATTTGGGTCAATTAGTTTTCATAACTACAGACAATATACTTATTGTAACTAGTACATTACAGTTTCTGCACAACTACCTTTTTGTAGGACTTAAGTCTGCCACTCACGTTTCAACGCCGCAGTACGATTTTGTCGAATGCTACACAATTGAACGTAATTTGTTCGTGAATTTGCACCATTCGACCAAATCGGCGCGATTTGACGGCAGACAAACAAGTCAGTCTGCAGCAATACGACAGAGTTGGTTAGGTCGTAAATTTTATAGTGTATATTGTTGTAACGACAAACTCGTACCACTGCAAAAAAATCATTTTTGTCCTTAATATCATAATATGATAAAACCGCTAGAAAAAGCTGTGAATATTTTGGTTGCTAAATTTCAAGAAGTGAAAGCGAATACTGATTAAGAGTTGGTGGTAACAAAGAAAATTAATTTTCGAACATGTTACAAATGGGAATTAAAATTATCTGGATATAATCGCAATTCTTCTAATAAATCATTAATATGCGTGCAAACGTGCAAAGGGGTACAAGTATACATTTGGTGGAAAATGAGAAAAGTACACTACGCTGTAAACAACAATCTGTTTATCTATCTATCTATCTATCTATCTATCTATCTATCTATCTATCTATCTATCTATCTATCTATCTATCTATCTATCTATCTATCTATCTATCTATCTATCTATCTATTTATCTATCTATCTATCTATCTATCTATCTATCTATCTATCTATCTATCTATCTATCTATCTATCTATCTATCTATCTATCTATCTATCTATCTATCTATCTATCTATCTATCTATCTATCTATCTATCTATCTATCTATCTATCTATCTATCTATCTATCTATCTATCTATCTATCTATCTATCTATCTATCTATCTATCTATCTATCTATCTATCTACTATCTATCTATCTATCTATCTATCTATCTATCTATCTATCTATCTATCTATCTATCTATCTATCTATCTATCTATCTATCTATCTATCTATCTATCTATCTATCTATCTATCTATCTATCTATCTATCTATCTATCTATCTATCTATCTATCTATCTATCTATCTACTATCTATCTATCTATCTATCTATCTATCTATCTATCTATCTATCTATCTATCTATCTATCTATCTATCTATCTATCTATCTATCTATCTATCTATCTATCTATCTATCTATCTATCTATCTATCTATCTATCTATCTATCTATCTATCTATCTATCTATCTATCTATCTATCGATCTATCTATCTATCTATCTATCTATCTATCTATCTATCTATCTATCTATCTATCTATCTATCTATCTATCTATCTATCTATCTATCTATCGCTGTTATCTAGATACAAGTTGGTGCCCAATGACTCTTAATCATAATTTTATCATTCATTGCGTGCAAAGGAGTATAACTTGACTTATATCCAATAGCACCACTAGCGCATCCCGTGCGTTTAGTGATAAGTCAACTTTTGTCTCTTGACACCAGTATTCAGTTAAAACTTATATCTGTTGACACGTGGCGTTCTAACCTCAAAATATGTGTCAAGCGCGTATATGTAACAAATTTTAAAACATTTTAAAATGAGGTTTTTCCGAGCTAATAAAATTCTGGAAATGTATGGGAATGTACAATCAAATATTACAGGTAAGTTATCATTACAGTATATGCGGCACGAAGTAATTTCCAAAAAAGGTGCAAATAAAATTGCTTCATGCTTGCATAAGCATCTTGTTGGCCTTCCTACGGATATTATTCACGTTATATTGTACTCAGATATGTGTGGTTGTCAAAATAAGAATACTCACGTTATGGCAATGTTTTTTACGTTACTACAAAACAGCCGACATTTGAAAACCATTGACCATAAGTTCCTGGTCGCAGAACATACACTCATGGAATGTTACACTGACCATTCCATGATAAAGAGAACTAAAAAGAGATATGGAACCTCAATAAATCATCCCTATGATTGGATGCAACTAGTGAGACAAACAGGAGAGGGAAAACCATTTGTCGTGAATGAAATGAGAAGGGAAGACTTTTATGGCTATGATTCGCTGATTTAAACTTTTTTACAGCAAAAAAAGTGAACAAAGAAGGCGAAAAAGGTAGGTATTTCTGATAAGAAAAAACAAAACTTAATAGAATTACTACCTTACATCTCTGAAATTTTTTATGACTTCTACAAAAGTTTGCCTTGTGAAAGTGATGTATGTGACGTATATCCCGATTCTGTCGAAGACGAAGATGAATTTGATGCAGATCAGTACTTTGTATTAATTACTATTTATCTGGGAATAAGCCACAATTAAAGATAAAAATACGTTTATTGACGTTTCAATTTCCACTTCGGAAATCGTTCTCAAAATACAAACAGTAAATTAAACAAATTTTGTTTTTTGTTACATAGTGAAAAATTCTTCTAATAATTTAATTTTATCTGACTCATTTATATTGACAATTCAGACATACATTATGCATTTTAAAGTAGACGGCTTTAAAATGATATTGCCAATATTGTTGAGTTGCGCTCCTGGGACGACTTTACTTATAAGATAGTTCATTCGATTACATGAAGACGTTCGTCTTTAAAAAGACAAACACATGACATGATGACAATAAAATCCTCCTGTTAGTGATTCCATAGTAAATTATGAGGGAAAACCCAGGAAAAAACCTCATAAT